GGGGCGGGGAGGAGGGCGAGCCGGTGAGTGCGGCCCGGTGGCCTGCTTGAGCCCCTCTGCTTTCCTAGTCTGTTCGGCGGGGCCACCCTCTCCCCGGCCCGGGGCCGCGGGTGCCCTGAGCCGGGGCGCCTCGCTGGGGCCCGCGGGCCGGTGGCGGGGCCCTGGCGTCGCTAAAGGCCTTCGTCCCCGAGAAGCCGGCCCCGGCCTCCCGGGGTACGCGGGGTGACGCCGCCGTCGTCCTGACCTTAGAACTGGGTAGGGGGGCGAGACCTCGGCGGCGCCGGGCCTGGTTCTGTTCGACTCTCGGTAACTTCTCTGGCAAGGTCTTTCCCCGAAAGGAGCCTTTGTTTCTCACCTACAGAATGGATATCATGCTTTTATTAAATACATGTTTTTCAAGTATCTGGTATATGCTAGAGGTATAAAAAGACTGCAAGCTGGCGGCGGTGACAGCCCTCGGTTAAACACAGGCTAAATTGCAGACTTGGTCAGTGCAGTGGAAAGGCCCAGGGCTGGTGGGTCACTGGAGACCTGACCTGGGAAGCTTCACGGAGGAGACTGTTGAGTTGAGATCAGAAAAATGATTTGTTTGACCAAGAGGAGAGGGAGGAGTTTTTTGTCCAGGGGAGCCTCCGGGTTGAGAGCCTTTAAGAGGCCAGTGTGGCTGGAGCAGAGCCTGTGTGGGGAGCATGGTATGAAACAAGCCGGAGGAGTTGCCAGGGGCCAGACCGCACATGCCTTGTAGGTCATGGTGAGAATTTTGATTTTCCGAGAGCCAGGTGGGAAACCGCTCAGAGGGTATTAAGTGTGGGTGCCGACATGCTTAGATTGGCGTTTTGAAAAGGTCACTCCAGCTGCGGGTGGAGAATGGATTGGAGGGGCAAGCACTCTGGGTGGGTGACATGGTATTTTGGATTAAAGAGGTGGTGAAGAGAAGTGGATGGATGTGACTTTCTGCATTCCAGGGCATCTTCTCTGTGTCAGGCCACTTGCCAACTGCTGAAGATATGGTGAATAGAATTACAAGCTGATGGGATTGGATGGAAAGGGATGTCATTCATTACCAAGGAGGAGCACACAGATGCCACAAGGGAAAGTGGCTAAATGATGAGCAGTTATTCTAAATGCAGTAGCTGTGCATTTAGCAAAATATTTATAAAGCACCTTCTGAATCCAGGGTTGGGAATTGGAAGATATATATAAATTATTTAGAACCGTGGTGTTCAGACTTTATTTTATGACAAATACATTTTATGTCGCATCAAAGCTTCAGAAAACAATTATTATCTTGACCACTCAACGTACTCTAATATTTTTATTCTGTTCTTTTCATTTAAAAAAATTAATACTGGCTGAGACTCCAAATTGTTTCTTAACCCATTATGAGTTGTGACTTGCTTGAAGTTTGGAAAAAATGCTGATTTCAAGTGAAGGTCATTTGGAGTGTTTTTGGGTTTAGACAGTAAAATATGCCCTTGACATTTTAGGAAAAGGGTTGGTCTTCCTTTCCTCACTGTTTTATTTGTGTAAAATAGAAAGAGTAAAAAGAACTAAGCAGACAACTGGTTCTTCTGTTTGTGAAATTTTAGGGTCTTGTTCGTATGTCTGGTTAGATTGGAAGTGCCTAGAGGGCAGTGACTGTCTAACTCTGTGGATGTTTTATTGAGTGCCTGGTAAAGATGCTGGCACAGTGCAGGCATCCAGTGATCATTTGTTGAATTGAATAGGTAGGTGTCTTGGGACTAAAAGGTTAGATAATTGCTTGGTTTAAATGAATTCATATTGGAACCATTCTTATAAATACCACAGAGGCAGTGTCTATGTGCCTATAGAAGTTTTACAGGATGCCCCCATGTAGGTAAAATAAGTGTTCTAATCTCTTTCTCTTCTAAATACTGACCCTAGGCCAGCCATGCCACCTGAATCCATTCTGGGTGTGTGGTCCAGAGTTGCCACTGACTGTGGGCTCTTTGGGAAGTTGTTTCACTCCTTGGACTCGAGATTTTTATGTGTAAAATGAGAAGGGGAGGCTTGTGGTTGAAAAGCTCTGCACTTCCCAAATCTGTTGTGAATTTTAGACGCAGAGCACCTGCTTTCCACCTCTGTCCATTTCTGGGTTTCCCTGAGGATTATGCAAAACTGGGTGTGCGTGATTCAGCCATGCTTCTCAATTCTTTTGAGACTCTCTAGCAATAAGTTTTAGGTAGAGCCGTGGTTTAGAGTGGACCATTCAGGCTTTCTCCACTTCAGTCTCCATTGTGAGAGAGAGATCCGAGAGTAGATCTTGAATGGACAGCGGGAAGAACACTGGGAAGAACACTGGCCTGCAGGGCAGGGTACCCAGGTTCTAATTTGTGTGACTTTGTATGCTCTTGTGTGACCTTGAACATGTCACTCCAGCTGTGAAGTGAATATTCTTGTTCATTAAAGTAAAACACAAAAACCCTCTTCTCACTGAATCTTATTACTTTTCTCATTTGTACATGGGTGCAGGGTTATGGTGAGGAGTAAGAGACATAATTATATCAGGGGTTTAATTCAATATCTGGCATGTAGAGAATACTCAGCAAATGAGGCATTCTCTCCCAAGTTCTGACCAACTCTCACTGCTTTCTTTTTCAGCTGTTCTGAAAGATAAGAAGGATTCTCCTTTTGGTCACCCACCACTGGTCCCATGGCTGCCATGCAGATGGATCCTGAGCTTGCCAAGAGCCTCTTCTTTGAAGGGGCCACTGTAGTCATCCTGAATATGCCCAAGGGGACAGAGTTTGGCATTGACTACAACTCCTGGGAGGTGGGGCCCAAGTTTCGGGGTGTGAAGATGATTCCACCAGGCATCCACTTCCTCCATTACAGCTCTGTGGACAAGGCCAATCCCAGGGATGTGGGCCCTCGTATGGGCTTCTTCCTCAGCCTGCAGCAGCGGGAGCTGATGGTCCTGCGCTGGAACTCGGTCCAGGAAGAGGTAGACCTTTCCCCAGCCCCAGAGGCTGAGGTGGAGGCCATGAGAGCCAACCTCCAGGAGCTAGACCAGTTCCTGGGACCTTACCCATATCCCATGCTCAAGAAGTGGATCTCACTCACCAACTTCATCAGCAAGGCCACAATGGAGAGGCTGCAGCCTGAGAGCCGGCAGATCTGTGCCTTCTCGGAGGTGCTGCCTGTGCTCTCCCTGAAGCACACCAAGGACCGGGTGGAGCAGAATCTACCCCGCTGTGGCACTGAATGCAAGAGCTACCAGGAAGGCCTGGCCCGGCTGCCTGAGATGAAGCCCAAAGCAGGGACAGAGATCCGCTTCTCAGAGCTGCCCACACAGATGTTCCCGGCAGGTGCCACACCAGCAGAGATAACCAGACACAGCATGGACCTAAGCTATGCCCTCGAGACTGTGCTCAGCAAGCAGTTCCCCAGCAGCCCCCAGGATGTGCTCGGTGAGGAGGAACAAAGCTCTTTGGAAGTGGGCCAAGTGAGGGGTATTAGATTAGGGGGTACATCTTCGGTTGTCTAGTCTAGTGGTTCCTAAACCTGGCTAGGAGGCAGTCATACCTGTGCACTCATTAAAGATACAGATGTCCAGGCCTTAGCTTGGAGATTGATTCGAGGGATCTGAAGTGGGGCCCCAGCGATTTATATCTGTGTGTCTAATAAACGAGAACCCTCGGTGAACCTGGTGCAGATAGCCCTGTGTTTGGGAACCACTGACACGGCCCAGCCCCTCATTTTACAGATTGAGGTCCATAGAGGGAAAGTATTTGGCTAAGTGGTCAAAATGAGGCCAGAGCCCAGGGCTCCTGGTTCCCAGGCCTCCCACTTACCTCCTCAATTTGCTCCTGGTTCTCTAAAGGCGTTGGGTCTCCCTCCTGGCTTAGACCAGGACAGTGACTTTTTAAAAAATTATTATATCCTTAATTTCCCTCCTTATTGCAAAAATATATCCATCATAGGAAAAAACACACAGTAAAATTCATACAACCTAGAAATAACCATTTTTTACATTTGGTGTATTTACTTTCCATCTTTTACATATATATACACACCTATAGATATAGATATTTTAGTCTTTATATTAATTTGTATTTCCTTTTAGTCTTTTTAGTTCAATTATATGTTTGTATGTATATGTGATTCTTTTCACAAAAAACCAGAATTATGGTATATTATTGTGTAATCTACTTTAGTATAAACATTTTTCCATGTCACTGAAACAGTCACTCCTCTTTAGTGGCTGCTCAAGTTCCACAGTTATTGGACTAGCCCATTGCTGAGGGACCTTTAAGATGTTCCTATTTTCCGTATTTTACGTGTTGTCTAGTGAACATCCTTGTGTGTATTTCTGCGTATGTTTAGGGTTGAAATTGTTGGATTAGAGCATGCTTGTTGCCAGAAGGTTGTGCATCCTCACCAGCTGTTGGGAGGCTGTGGTCTGTCGCCTTGGACATGGCATTTTAGCCAGGGCCTCTTCCATCTGGATGGTTGGAGAATGACATCTTATTTCAGTTTACAGTTGATCCTGACAACACAAGTTTGATGCATGGGTCACTTATTTGTAGATTCCCCCCNGCAGCAATAAGATTTGACTGATTCTCTATTTTTCAAATTTTAATTTTCCACCTCACTAATTTTTTTTTGTTAAAACCCAATAAATTATTTTCTATTTGGAATTTGGTTATAGATTGTGCCACTTGATAATTTCTTATAAATTAATTGATGCTTTATAGAGATCTATTTTCTGTTGGACAACAGATGAAGGTTTTTGTTTTTTTTTTTAGTTTTTCTGTCTCACTTCTTATCTATTTTGATCTAAAATCAATTAAGAATTTAATGCCCATCAAGTAGTGGTTATCTGGACTCATTCACAAAATTAACTCATTGATAAGTATTGTTTTTCTGTTTACTCTTTACTCATGGCTAAAATTTTAGAATTGAAGCAATAAATTTCCTTTGTCTTTTTTTTTCTTCTCTTTTGTATCTCAAATAGGTCTTTATTAACCATAGTGTGTAATATTTTCTTACCTCTTGATAATATTTATAAATTAGGTTATAAACATGTTAAATTAAGGAAGCTTTAATCAGATAAACTTATTAGGATAAATATGTGCTTATAGACAGTTTACCCTTGAATTACACAGATTTGAATTGCACAGGTCCATTTATACACAAATTTATATAAATAAGTATCTGTACTGTTTTTGATCCTCAGTTGGGAGCCCCCGGATACAGAGGGCCTACTGCTTGCGTTGATCTATGTTTTATATGGGGGATTTGAGCATTCATGGATTTTGATATGGGAACGGGTGTTCTGACACCAATCCTCTGTGGATATTGAGGGGCAGCTAAGTTTTTGAGGAGTCAAAAGTTATATGCAGATTTTTGACTGCATAGGATGTTGGTTCCTCAACGCACATGTTGTTTAAGGGCCAACTGTATTTTTCTTCAGTTACTACTGACAGCAAACATTCATCACATCTTTAACAGCTATTTTATATGTTTTTTACAAGTTGTCTAAGTATTTGATTATTTTTCTATTGGAAGATCAGTGAGAAATTTTAATATAGGGCCTTTTAAGTCATTGGCTCAGCTGATAAAACGGGGCATTTTAATGAGTGTATCTTAATGCATTACACAGTATTTTCATTAATTAAGTAACACTTGAAATTCTGGCTTAAAAATTAACAGAAGTCCTGTTTTCGACCTCTAAAATATTTCAGTTCTTCAAAGTAATCTTGTGAAAAGGTCTGTTGCAGGGATAACTTTGTATCTTCATGACAGTTCTTTGAAATTATTTCTGATCTCATAATATAATTTTAGACTAGGCCAGAAATGCATGAAATTTAAATAAATGCCCTAAATTCAGGGAACAAGCTCATGTTTTCACTAACCAGGAAAAGCCACTGAAGAAGCATATCGTTAACCTCTATCACACAAAGAAAACTTGACTATACATATTTTGAAAATACTGATCAAATATCCTATATATCTAGACCAGGTAGCTAGCTGGTCACACGTGTTGAGTGCACCTGTTGTTTTTATGGCCCACATATAGGTCCACAGAAGCCCTCTTTAAATTTGAAGCAGGACAGATCATCTCTGATCAGCAACAGTGTATCTTGGTAACCAGAGACCCAGTTGCTTGCCCAAGGACAATGACATCTGGATCATCTGGTCTCTTTGTTTGAGACAGGCATCTGATGGAAATGTGGGAATAACTAATATTTCTTGAGTGCTACTTTGTGCCATACATTATTTTAAATGCTTTACATATATTGATTCATCTAATTCTCACTATAGCCTTTCAATAAGGAAATTGAAGTATATAAAAAGATTAAGTACTGTAACTTGCCCAGGGTCACACAGCTAAATGGTAGAGCTGAGATTTGAACATGGGCAGTTTGGCTCCAGAGTCCATGCTTTTTGCCACCAACCTGCTCATAGAGATTAAGTCACAGAGCCCTGTGATGAAACAATCAAAAGTAATCTGGCTGGTAGGCTAACCCTGGAACAGCTCCCCCAAATTTTCCTGTTCCGGAGGCTCTGGAAGTATTCCCACCCAAAAGGAAAGCTGTTGTATCTTTTCTTTGTTCACATCCCCAAGCATTAGATGTGTGACCTTGGGCAAGTCCCTTGACCTCATCTATAAAATTAGGCAAATACCACCTTCCCATGACCACCGTGTGGATTTGGCTGAGGAATACATGGTGTGATACAGCATTTCCCTGAACCTGAAGCAGATCATCTGCATCAGAATTAGAGCTACAAATACTGAGGCCCCATCCTCTATCCTTAGCCAGGATCTCTGCGGGTGAGGCTTGGGCAGCTTTATTTTTAGCAGGCTCTCCTAGTAATTCTGACAGGCAGCCAGGTTTGGGATCCACTTGGCATAATATCCATGGGCACATTTTGTAAACTCTTTAAATGCCAGGCAAATACTAGGTATACCTCTTCTCTTGCCATCTGATTTTACAGAAATTCAAATTTATAGTGGTTAAGCAAGCATTTATTGAGGACTGGCGTGTTACAAGACCCCATGCTAGGCTCTGCAGGAGTGACGGAGAAAGACCACTTCTTGCTGAGGTCCCGTGGAATTGACAGCCTTATAGAGCCAGCTGGTACCCTTCTCCCTTGGGATCATTTATCCTCTCTGTGCTTTCAGGTGAACTTCAGTTTGCCTTTGTATGCTTCCTGCTCGGGAATGTGTATGAGGCATTCGAGCACTGGAAGCAGCTCCTGAACCTCCTGTGCCGCTCAGAGGAAGCCATGGTGAAGCACCACGCTCTCTATGTCAACCTCATCTCCATCCTGTACCACCAGCTTGGTGAGATCCCTGCCGACTTCTTTGTGGACATTGTTTCCCAGAACAACTTCCTCACCAGCACCTTACAGGTGAGCAGTCTTTTGCACCCTCAGAAGGGTTACCTTTTGTTGCTTACTATTCTTTCATGACCCAAAGTTTACTTAATTTTAGTTTCCTAATCTTGGGCTGTTCCCTGGTTCTCTCTCTCCTACTCGATGTAAGCAACTTGGTGCCAGAGACCCTCTCTCAGTACCACCCTCTCCCCACTTGCTCCCAGAGTGCCTGGCACTAGAGTACTTGGGGTCTGAATCATCTCCATTCCTTTGAGTTATTCAGCTCAGAACAGTTTTTCTTTCTCCCTGTAGCCACAGCTGCAACCCAGTAGGACAGCGTTGAGAAGCTTGTTAGTCCCAGGGAAACATCTGCAGCTCCTTAGATCTCATTTCAGCATTAAAGTAACTTCGATTTCCTGTGTCAAACAAAATGTGCCAGTTTCTGCAGAGATTCTCTGACAGAAAAAGTGAAATTTGCTTTTAACTTGGCAATTAAATTTTCGTTATGAGTCGTAATTAGGGAAGGAACTTCAAACAACATACAATCTTCATCCTGTGCTACTTCCTCCCTTTGCACACAGATCAGCTTCCTTTATGTTCTTGGGACAGTATCTGTCACTCACAGTTCGTAACTTTCTCAAGTGTAGAAGAGGCAGAAACTGCAAGCTGTCAGTTTCCATATTTTCTGTTCCATGAACTGCTTTCTTCTCTCTGTGTGTGAGACCCCCACGGGACCTGTTCCTTACAAGGTGGCTCTTCACTGACCTCCCATTCCATGTGGGGCAAGGGACAGAACGAACATTCGTTAAGTGCCTGTTGAGTATCAGACACCATGTTTATCATACTACATGGTTTCCTTATTTAATCTCTCTGGAGTGCTGTAAGGCAGGGAGGATTATTCTATTTCACAAATGAGAACACAGACTCAGAAAGGTTAAGTCATTTATGTAAGGTCACACAGCTGGTAAGTGGCAGAGCCAGGATTTGTACCCAGGCCTGAGTCTTGGTTTAGGGCCTGTGCTTATGCCCCTGCATACTGAATACAGCGTAGGCCTTCCCAAAAGGATTCTTGATTGGTGGTAGTGGAGGCACCATCATGCCTGTTTCTCAGAGGTGCAGAACACTTTTCTAAAGCCAGAATACTGTTGGAAGAGGTCATGTGAGCAGGCAGCTGACTTTAAGCTCTGGCAGCTGGAGGACTTGTGCAGACCATGGGGTCAGTCAGACTGATGGCTAGAACCTGGTGTACCCCACTTCTGAAGAGCTGTAAAACGGCCCTTCATTGGTTCTTAATGTAGCAGAAACTAAACCCTTTCACCCTCCCACCGCAGGGAAGATCCCCTCCAGAGCTGCTGGGGTGTGGGTTGCAGAGGAGGTAGGAGGCGTTGGCCCACTAATTTGCCCTGGCCGTGCCCGGGCCCACAGGGTTATGTACAGCCTTCACGATGTGCGTTAATACCATCGCACAAAGGGGGCCGCACTGTTGCTGGCTGTTCTCACCATTGTCAGCGTAACCAACAGCTGAGCTCTGATTGCTGAGGCTTTGTTGCTGGCAGTGATTTACAAAGCAGAAAGGGCTCAGCCGGATTGCTAGATGTCCAGGTGGGGTGTACAAAGCTGATGGGTACAGGAATTCTGTCTTTGGGTTTTTCACCAAGAAAATTTGATGTCGTTGTTTGGAAAAATCCAAAACATGTGTCTTTAAAATAATAAATCAACACATGCTTGTGAGCATCCTTTCTTTAAATACAACATTCTCCTGAAAGTGTTGTGGATTAGCCAGGGTTCCTGCCCTCAGGAGATTGGTTTATTGATTCAGCAGGTATTTCCTGAGCACCTGCTGTATACAAGGCCTTGTTCTAAAGACTAGAAATATAGCTGTGAGCAAGACAGACAGAGTCCCTGACTTTCAGCTTATATTTTGGTGGGAAAGTAAATAAATGAATTAACCAAATAACTCCAGAAAGAGTAAGTGTTTTAGAAGGCAGTCCTGCCCGGTACCATTTCCCTAACCAGGCCTTTTGGTCTCATCTAGGCTGCATCATTTTGTCAGCTTCCATGCCTGCCCTTGTCAGTCCATCTGTCTCCCACTCTGCCCCCTGAGTTGCTGCTCTAAATGTATGTCTGACCCTGATACTCTAGCTTCTCATTGCCTGGAAAGTTAAAAGCCCAAACATGGGTCCCAAGGCCCATTCTCGCTGACTCCTATCTTGTTCTCTAGCTTCTCCTTACTCTCCATTTTCCTCTGTCAACTCCAGTGACAGTGATCTCCTTGCAAGTTCCCAGACATGCCATTCTGTTTCATGCCTTCTTTTAAAAAAAAAATTGCAGTAAAAGAACACATAACATGAGGCCTACCCTCTTAACAAATCTTTAAGTGTGTAGAACATATTGTTAACTATAAGCACAGCAGATCTCTAGAGCTTTTCACCTGGCATGACTGATGAAAATATAGGTATAAAGTTTCATGCCTTCTTAACTGAGCCTGACTTTCCCTCTGCCTGGTATGTACTTGTTTATCCTAGAGATGCCCTCAAAGCATCCCACTCTTGAAGCCACACCCGATCTCTCTCCTTTCCATACTATTAGTCTGCTTTGTACTTGTCACTATTATATTGCGCAGGCTGTGCTTGCTGAAATTTACATATTGTAAATGCTGCCTGGCTGCCCCACTGAGCCATGAACTTTCACCCAAAGCCTGTTTTGGTTCACCTGGTTATTTTGAGCACCTAGCAAGGCCTAGCACTTACCTCACTTTGTGTTACTGGCTGTTTTTCTATGAATAAAGTGTATAATTCCTGTGGCAGTGTAAATAGATGACCCTAATATGGTAGATATAAACAGTGAAGTTTGATCAAAGGGCATTAGGGGCACCAAAGAGAGATTGGCTCATTCAGACTGGGATTGAGATTTGAGGGGACAGAGGATCAGGAACAGCTTTTTGCAAAGGGGTGGATGATGGCATTTGACCATGAGCTTGAAGGGTGACTGAGATTTCAACAGGCACAGACAGTATAGAGGATATTACAAAACTTTCTTTTTTCTTTTTTTTTTAATCTTTATTGATTTCAGAGAGAGGAAAGGAGAGGGAGAGAGAGAGACAGAAACATCAATGATGAGAGTAATTGATCAAGCCCACAACCAGACATGTGCCCTGACCAGGAATCGAACCCTGATCGCCTGGATCCCAGGTCGATGCTCGACCGCTGAGCCACGCCCGACCAGGCTACAAAACTTTCTTAATGGAGAGTTACATTGATGCCATCTTGGCAGTGAGAATCCAGTCCCTCCACACAGAGGCAGTCACTCACTCACTCACTCAGGGTGTTTATGACTGAATGAATCAGCCTATAACAGCCTTCCTCAGCCAGCCCCTGCTTTCCCCCCAGGTAGTCAAGTAAGTGGAACTGGCTTTCTTCCTTAGGAGCTAAATGGCTACTACCCGTGGAGAGGGGCTGGTGTTTGTGTGTGTGAGCGCTTACAGGCAGCCACATTAGCTTGTATAAAACCAGCCACGCAATGGCCTCTGCCGGTAGAGGCCCTTTTGAATAGATGCCACTGGTTTTTACAAATCCCATGGATTTAGCTTGAATAAAAATTATTTGTTTTACAAAAATAGGTACAGGTTTTTCTTTTATTTAAAGCTACTTGAGTCACCACAATTTATTTAAAACCATTGAAAGGATAATCTGAATTTAATAGTATGTTAGAAAGTGAGTTATGTACAAAATAAGAATTCTTATTGCTGATTACATAACATTTAGGCATATAGTTATGTAGCCTGTTTTTTTTAAAAATACTTATAGTCACTATGCTTTCCAGCTTCATTTCTTGTGACTATTCTAAATGCCAGTATCCATCTTTGACTCTTGAGGAAACACACTAGCTCTGACAGTGATGTCTGTAGTATTTTTATTATCATACAAGCTATGCTAAATTGCACCTACCAACTTCTACACCTCTTGCCATCAGCTGTCTATTACTTTTATATACTTACTGTGCATTATCTCATTTAGCCCTCAAAACAGTGCTCAAAATTAAGGCTATAATCCCATTTTACACATGAGGAAATAGGATCAGAAGGGTCACATAATTTTGCCCAAGGTCACCAGAGCTAGCAGATGGCAAGGCTGAGCATTGCTCCTGAAGCCTGTGGTGAGCTCTCATATATTAGAGCCCCAGGCAGAACATCCCAGATTCTTTAAACCGACCTCAGAATCATTCCTGCTGCTTCTCACTTTCCTGCAATCATTGTGAAGTGGCAGTCTTGCTTTTAACATCACTTTCTTCTTCTGCAAGTAGAAATAAAATGTTCTACCTCTGGCTCGCTTTAGTCTAAGTTGAATAACCATTTGGGAATTGAAAAAATTAGGAAATTTCTTCTTTTTGCCTAGCCAAAAAGTAGGATAAGACAGTGACTCAGCTACCTACCTTGATATTTTAAATTTTTCAGGTGACCTGACTGAACTCTATTTAACTTGGGCTTAAAAGAAGGCTTTTGCATTTCTGACTGAAGTAATTTATGCCTTTATAATACACAGACGTAGTGATAAAAGTAGTAATATCTTTTTTATATTTAGAGAAAAATATCCAATGGGTATGTTTTTAGTTTTAAATAAATGCAGTTGTTTGTAAAATATTACTATCCTATTTCAAAGTATTTTTTAAACACCAAGGATTAATCTTCCTATATTAAGATGATAATTTCTCAGCGATGCTAAAAAGTGTTCACTTGATTTTACTTTGATAAATAAAATAACCAGATCATTACAAAGTTTCCTGAAGAAGGCATTAATCTAAAAATAAGAGAATCAAAGTAAATTATTGCTTGAAAACTAGGTGTTGTCTAAACATCTCCTTTTCTGAATTGTGAGTTTTTAAAGTACCAAGTTTGTAAACTGTGGGGGCAAAGGTAAAAGTAGATCCCTGAATGCCAGGGGTGAGGATGAGGAGGTTTGGGGGCAGCACAGGGAGTGTGCTAGAGATGAACTGTTCGGTATCCTGGTGGTGATGGTATGTGGCCCTTCAGACTCACAGATCTGGAAAAGGAAAACTAAGTACATATCTGTCTTGATTATATCATATTGTGCTTGCACGGGTGTATGCATTTGTTAAAACAAATTGAACACTTAAAATGGGTGAATTTAATTGTATGTAAATTATATTGCAATTAAGTTTATTTTTTACAATTTTTTAAAAAAGTAAATGGGCTGTGCCCTGTATCCTGGAGGCCCGCGGGGGGGATAGTTCCTGAAGCACCAGGTCTCTAGGCCCTTGGCTCCCCACAGGGCAATGCTAAAAGTATGAGGGATGTGTTAAGTCTGTGTCAACACTGAAAGAAGGTCTTGGTAGGGGAAAGGATTGAGATTTCCTTCCTTGGACTGGATCTTGCTCAACATTTATCACGGTTCTCATCTGTACAGTAGGAACAATAATTTCCTGTCCTCCTACCTCCCAGGTTTGTAGTAAAGATTAGATTGATAATTTCTTTAAAAAGGGCAAAACACTTTTCAAATCAGAGGCCTTATTTTTCACACTGAAGGCTTCTGTTTACCTGCTTCTGGTTGATTTTACTACCAGGCAGTGTCTGAGAGATGGGTGGGAAGGATGAGTGATGAGTGTGGGCCCAGCCTGTTCTAGCCTCTCACTGCTGGCCACTGCCAAGTACAGGGCAGTCCCATCTCATCCTTTCAGTGACTGTCCTAGGGCCCTAACTCTATGCCAGGCGATAATGCTGTATGGGACACACAGATAATTTGGACTCTTTCCCTACTCGTAGGGAGCACAGGTCACCATGATGCAAGCACAGTGTGAGAAATGCCCAAATGGCAGCTCATGCACAGTGTTGGGGGACAGGTGGAGCAGTTTATTTCAGCCTGGGCTTTTATAAGAGGCGTGTCTCAAGGAGGTGGCTTGTGAGCTGGTGGCATGCAGGGGCCTGGTCAATAAGCCACCTCCTCCCCAGGATGAGTCCCTTATTCTGTCCAGCACTGTCACATAATTATTGAGCAGTTATTTGGTACCAGGCACTGTACAAAAGTGAACCAGAAATGGATATATGTCACACTCCATGCCAGGAGTAGAATGCAGGTGTGAAAAAGAGTCACTGCTTTGGGGTTGCTCCTTGTCTCTTGGGAGAGCTCAACTGTAAATGGACTGTTACGTGTTTGAGATTGAGGCTGTCATAGAGGTTACTGGGGGTGCTGGGGGAGCATGGAGGAGCACCTGTTCCGTCCTTGGTCTGGGAAGACATCCTAAAGGAGGTGATGTGTGAGCTGAGCCTGAGTTTCTGGTAGAAGTTAGCCAGGTGAAGGAGGGGAAAACGGGAGGGAGGGTGTTATGAGAAGAAAAGCATGTGTGTGCAGAGGCACAGAAGAAGCTGTAGAGTATGTTTGGACCACTGTTCAGGGCAGTTGGAGAGGAAGGGCTGTGTAGAGAATAATATAATTTACCAAGTAAGGAGGGAAGCGGGAAGAGGCTTTTGATTATTCAGCTAGCAGGTTCCCTAGGACCTCTGGTGACAAGCTCATGGGTGTGCAGGGCCTCCGGAGCAAATGCTGTTTGAAACAGGCTTCTTTGCTTCCCATACCAGGCCTCTCCCCAGAGTTCAGCCGGGCTCCATACTCAGTGCTCCATGGCAAGCTCTGTTAGCTGCCTACAGACGGGCCTCCGGCTTCCCACTGCCCTCTTGCCACCAAGCTCACACAGCCCCTCTAATGAGTTATTGACCTGGTACTTTGTTGTGGCTCTGCTTTCCGCTCCTCCATTTAGTCAATTCCTGAATTAATGAAACCAAATTCTGTAAACCTCCCTTTTGTTTCCA